ATTAGGGGCACGGCGATCGTGCTCGCACCGTACCCTGCCAGTGTGTACGCAGTACGAGGTAGCAGGTAGCCTTCATGGTACCGGGGTGTCGGCTGTTGTAGCGTTGTGGGGTCAGGAATGCATTTGTCCGGAGCGCCATTAGCTGTGCAACCAGAAGTGCCGCTGACGCGCTCCGTCGCAAGGCAGGCGCTAAGTCATCGCCCTCACTACGACTTGAGGTCACCGCAGGTTGCCAAACTACGGCATAATCATGGGTTTGCGGGCATTTTGGCTTGAAGTCATCCTTTCCCTCAACCTCGGCCCCTTTCTGAAGCCGCCCATGCAGTAGGACCATGGCCATATCACTTGCAGCTCACTTGCCCAGAGGCTTCTTGTCATCAGGCGGATGAGTCAGTTCTCGATGTCATGCTATGGCAGAGAAACGAGGGCACCATCCTTGGGCAGGGCATCGAGACGAGAGCAGAGGCAATGTTTAAAGACTGGTCCATCGTGAAATAAGCCTCGACAGGTGCCTGTTCGACTCCTGTCGGCAACGGCTCGAAAGGCCTGTTTGGCCGACTGAAGCTGAGGCCCAAATTTCGTGTTGATCTCGGGAGACACGCTTGCAACTGTCATGCGAGCTGCTGATGGCCACTGCAGTATCTGGGGCATGGCTGAAAGTGGGTGTTTTTTGGGGTGCTGTGGTGCTTCCGGTCTTTGATTGCTTGATTCTCATGATGTTTTGACTTCCTGTAGCAAGGTTAAGGCTTTAGGGTGGTTAGGGCTTTAAGGGTTTCGGGTTCGGGTTTGTCCCTGCCGACTTCCCAAGCCGGGATGCAAAACGTCTAGGCCTCCAATCCCCGGCGTTTGCCTAGGGCCCAGGGCATATCACAACCACCGAGCTGAGCTAGACTCAAGATCCCGTGCAGTGCTGACAAGACAAGCAAAGCGTGCGCTTCAGTCGGCCGGAGTCCGAGAACACAGGCTCCGCTGCTGGCAGAGGCCTAGAACTCAAAAGCTACGACTTCATACTCCCAAACCTCGTGGTTCTTCTGCTCGTGGACAACTCACTCCCCCATAAGTCGCTGAAGCTTCGTGGCGAAGCTCCGGTCCGTCATGGTGCAGGTTTTGTGTCCTGGATTAGGACGTTGCAAGCAGTGTCCTACAGACGCTGACTTCAAAGCTCTCATGGAATGCGAGATCCAGGGTTGAGATGTTGGCTTCAGGACAGTTCACCCCAACCAGGGGTCTCGGTCTCCTTGAGGTGCTCTACATGCTTAGGAAAGTAAGGCGTAAGGTCTTCAAGGGTGCCCTGCCGCAGACCCGGCTTCCCAAACGTAGGAAAAGTGCTCGCCAGTGGGTGATAGCTCAGAAACTCAGACCATGAGACTCTGGCGCCCTGTGGCAACTTGCTTCGTGGCACCGCATGGGTCCTGTTGGTCTCGGCAAGCAGCTCACGGGATCGTCACGCTTCGAAGGAAGGCATCACGGATCTTTGACAAAACCTGAAATTAGGAAGCCGGTCACAAAGCCTTGCTAAAGCAGCAAGGATAAGATAAAGCGACAACCGGCATTTTCTGCACAAAGACAAGAGTAAAGTTGTTTTCTTACGTCCCCTCAGTGAAGTGCAGGGTCTTGGTGCGTGGCAGCCTGACTGAGTCTTGCTGTAGCTGCATCGAGACGAGGGCAGGTTCAAAGAATTTATGCACTTCTCGGGGATGCGCCCCTGGACCCTAAACCCCTTAAGCCTAAACCCTGGTTGAGCATGAGGTTACTTGGGGCGGTCTTCGTCCTCCTGACCAGGAACGGTAGGGCTAATTACGGGGCAGCTGCCACCATGGATCGAAAGAGGCCGCTCCACCAAAGAAAGCCGCCGCATGCATTGGAGTCCTTTTCGAGAAGGGCAGCAGGCTGAGTCTCGTGAGATCGCTTTACCGTAAGCCCCTGCTCATCACTCGGACATAAGACGTGGAGTCTGAAAGCTTCCTGGGAATGGAGCCCCCTGCGGTCGCAGCGTTCGGGAGTAATGCATGGATAGTCGCAAAGCCTAAGGCTAAGGCTTCTTTTGCACACATAGAGACGTGGACGCAACAGAGCCGGAGTCTGTCAGGGAGCGTGAAGCGACCCAGACAGGTCAGAAGACGGTAAGGACTCGCCGAGCCCCACGCAGCATCGCAAAACGAAACTTGCTTGTTGGCCTCACACACATTCCGGTTTTCTTCCAACCAGACCTATCTCCTTGGCTCGTGCATGGGCGCGCTGGGCTCATGATTGCATAAGTGTGACGACTGCTGCCGAGGGCGCTCCCCCAAGGCTAGGACACAGCTTGCCACCGAATCACGCCCGTGTCTTTCGTCGCAGATCCTTCATCTGCACACATAGAAGAAGGCGCGCCTTAAGATCAAAGTTGCAGAGAGCATAACGCTGGCAATTCCCTCGTTTCGCTCCATGAGCTTCGGCTACAGACTCTCAGTCTCTCCAGCGGTACATTCCACCCTGGGCCCGGACTTACATCCACAGAGCATGTACTAGGTCGAAATCATTCTTTAAGGGTTTAGGGTTTAGGGCTTCATGTCTAAGCTCCTGACAGCCTCGGCGAAAGCTTTCGGCTAGACCTGCCGTGGCTTCAGCAAGACACGGCTCTCTATGGGGGGGGAGTCTGGGTCCAAGCAAGGAGTGGCTTGCGGCTCCCGAGCTGTCCGAGCTGTGCCACTTCGTCGTATACTCTCCTGGTTCTTCGGAGGCTTTTCAGCTCTCCCACCCACAGCGTCCCCATGAGAAACCCCGAAAACCCCCAAAGGGTAGGGGCACTGCGGTGGGACTCTGGAGCTACTTTGCAAGTGGAACGTTCACTGAAACAACTGCGAGGCTGACGTCTGCGAGGTTTCGGCTCAATTTGCAGGCCCTGAGTGAAGACTCCTCCTTGGTCTTAGACAAAGGGCAGAGCCCTGCAATCCACAAAGATCTTCTCCTCTTCTCTGAAGGTTTTGAAGCAGTTTAGAGGCTTTTGGGGATTGGGGGGCTCTTTCAGCAAGTCCGGTTTCAAGGCAAGGGAGGTCTTCGAACTTGAGGGGACCCGGTGCTTTGATTCAGAGGAGCTTCTGGAAAGTGACCGAGCCAGGCTTGATTTTCATGGAACCCGGCTCATGAAAAAGGCATCTTAAGCCGTCTTAAGCATTGGGGAGGCCTGGCCTGGCCCGCATCGAGCCTGATTGCTGACTTGCATCCCAAGCCATGTGGGAAGGGCTTAAGGCCTTCAAGGCGCCTTTTCCGATCTGACGCGCCCCTCTTGCAGAATACCGGGTCCCGGCTGACCATCATCTACTTGTGCCGTGTCGCTGTGGGCCGGTCTTTGCCAGGCACCAGAATGTGGCTGTACTTGAGGACCCATTTATCACTGCAAGGATCCAGCAGAGTCCCTTCCCGGCATCCTATCCATGTCGGCTGCGGTGAACTGCGATGTCACGCCAGCTCGTCTCTCGTTCTTGACCTTACCTCCCGGATTTCTGCCTCTTTTCGACGGCACGTCGCCGACAAAAGAAGGCCTTATGAGAGTTGTGCGGAGCTCACTTCATGTTGTTGTGCAGCATGTAGTGCAGGAAAGCAGCATATCCAGTGAGAGGTTCTTGATTTTGGCACTCAGGTTTTCTGAGCATGCTGTGCTTCTTTGCTCAAGATCGCCTGTATCGTCTAGGAAGTCTAAGGTTTAGATATGGCTTCGTTGAGGGATGCGAGCAGAATGCGGACTTCTGTCAGGCGTCGTAGTGAGAAGCAGGACCGAGAGTGCTCATGGTGCGAGGACATGATACTAACTTCTACTTGCACTGGGAAAGACTTTGGAGGCGTTAGCCCCGGATGCTCCTTTATATAACTAGTAGCACTTTTGCAAAGAGACAACGTGAATCCACCATGCCGGTTTGCTACAGTGGACGGGCAGAGACTTCCGTTTGAAGCATCCTGTACTGTACAGAGGGTGATGATGAACACTTTCTGTTCATGTTGGCAGCGATTGTGTGGTATAGTGTGTGCCAACTTAGGAAAGTGTGCTGTGCACTATGAAGTTTCCATGTGCAGAGCATATAAATCTCAGGACATTTCTCATGCTTTTGCCATGGGCACAACAGGCCTTGGTCACCCTCTTTCTTTGCGGCAGTACTTGGAGGCCCAGGGGACTTAGTAAGTCGGCTATAAGTGGGTAATAAGTAGGGTAACTCCAAGTAGGGTACTTATAACTCTACTTATAACCCACTTACTAAGTCCCCTGGGCCTCCAAGTAGCACTATCAGCGGTGCTCCCCATGCCGAGGCATCTACACGATGCCCGACAATCGCTTTCCTTGCACGCTGATAGACTACTCGTTCAACTGCAGGTGTCGCGTCTGTTTCTAATCTTCAAGTTATGTAGATACGACTCGTTTTGTCCACCATCGTTGCTCTTGCTGATGCGTTGTCCCTACTCTGTGGGTTCTTACGTGAAGCGGCTGAGCTGATCTTGACAATGCAAGTCTTTTCGTTCGGACCGGGACCGAATGGTATGTGGCAAATTTGAGGTTGGATGATTTGAAAGCGGTACCACATGCTGAACAGGTTCCGCCGCCCACGAGGGATCACAGACGGCGCGGCTCCCGGGTGTGGGTATTGGCTATGGATCGCAGCTAGTCCGGAGGTAATCGCGCGCCGAACCGGTGTAAATCGTCGTCGCTGAGAAGCTGCTTAATTGCCATAGCAACTTCTTTGCTGCCACCGCAAACTGATCGGCATCGCCCGCAGAGAATGATTGTGAGAGAGAGAGTTTGCAAGACGGAGAATAAGGACTCAAGCATAGCGAAAGACAGAAGAAGCACTGTTCTCGCTGATCGCAGAGCATGGGTGAGAATCAAGGGGGTCGTTGACAACATGGTGCACTCAGAAGGTCCAAGAAAGGAAGTAGTGGAGCCTACACAACGATCACCACAGGTCGGATTGCAGCACTGACTGAGACTTACTGTTGGATCCGGTACTCTAGATCCTCCGAGCTGCTCCATGCCGCCACATTCTCGAAGCCTGGAGGGTCAGAGTCGCCAAAGCGTGGAGATTCTCGATGCTCAGGACACATCCGACCCAGAATTGGTTGTAGTTCCTACTGGGCGGGTGGCTTCGAGCAAAGGTGGGGTGGTTGAGGATGTGCCACCAGCACCGCCACTGATGATTGAAGAGAAGCTGAACCTCCTCATTCACTTGGTAGAGCAGCAGAGCAACGAATTGCAGAAAGTTCACCATCGCGTGGCTGCGGTAGAGGAGAAGCTCACTCCGCTGTCTCAAGCCGAAGCTCCACGTGGAGCTTTGTCTTTCATCTCCCGCCATTCCAGACGATTGAATTCAAAGGCTTCGAAGGCAGAAACCCCCATGTCATCTAAAGCAGTCTCGGATTTCAATGACATCGACGAGCTGGTAGGGCAAAGAGTCATGAAGGCAGCAATGAAGAGTCGACAAGATGATAACAAAGGCAGTGCGATCTACAAAAGAAGCGGGACCTATCATATTGGAGCATCGCAGAACTTTGCGGCAAGCTTCGCCATGTCAAGGAAGGTGAGTTTTGGGCCGGGGAGTTCTCAGAAGTCTCTTGCTGTCCAAGAACCAGTTTCCGCTGCCAGGTCCTCGAGGTCCATTTTGAGGACTGAGGACAACCCGGGCTCAGTAGGAAAGACGAAAACAGGAAGCGTCAGTCCTGGTGATATGATTGAGGTTGCGGGCGCAAGCTCAGAGGCGGGTAAGTCCAAGATCTCCGGCAAAGAGCATTGCGCATCCTTGCGGGATGTCTTCAAGCATCGTGAAACCCAGCTGGTTCCTGTGTCACCTACGGGCACCACGGGAACTAGCATGCGCGTGCCCACGGGATTTCAGCAGGAGGAGGAGTATGTCCCATCCGGCTACGGCGCCTCGGTTTTGCATTTCCGGGTCTTGTGGATGGAGCGAGCCTTTGTTGTAAGCGACCCCTACTTGCCCTAGTAGCGAAGCGAGTTGGGCCCCCAACTAGGTGAGCGTGGTGCTTCCTGCTGTTTGGCCTGCTGCGATGCCTGGACACGCTTGTGTGGCCTCACGCCCTTGGTTCAGCGGTGGATCGAGAATCCAGAAGAGGACTGCGAAGATTTGGATCCGTGGATGATGCTGGTGTCAAAAGCATACCATTGCCTGGTGTTGAGCCTCAGCTGTGTGGGGGTTTGGGCAACCGCCACTCGCATAAGCGTTTGCAGCTCCGGAAGCGACATCGATCCATGTGCAAGCGGGCCTGCGACCGACGTGGCTATTGCATTTGGTGCCACATTGACCATCGCAGCCTGTGGTGGCTTGAGGCACTATTTCAAGAGCGCACAGATGCAGATCCAGATCAACGAGCACCTTTTGGCGAGTGTCGAAAGCGAAGGCCTGATGAGCCATCTTCGCAGGCAGAAGACTACAGACGGCTTCGTCACTGCGCCTCGGGGGGCCTATGGCCTATGGTCTTCCCTAAGCTTAAGTACCCCTTGGGGTTGAAGGGAAGGACGGGAGAGCTAGGAAAAGGTTCTATGCAGTCCCCTACACCCGGAAAGAGGACCCGAAAAAGGGCAAGAGCCTATGACCCATACTTCCAGGAATCGAAACCCATGATGGGGTCTCTTTATGGCGAGGTTCCGCTTGAGCCTCAGAAGTCCGAGGGATGAATGAAAGGCTCAGGCGGCCGAAGGCCTTGGGCTCTTGAAAACAGGACGGGTTAGGGCTTAGGGCCTTTAGGGCTTAGGGCTTAGGGCCTTTAGGGGTTTAGGGTTTAGGGGTTTAGGGTTTAGGGCCCTTAGGCTTTGAGTCATTGAGGTGCTTCTTTGGATTGCCATCCTGGCAGCACGCCTTGGGTTCTACAGCCTTCAGCCGGAGTTCAATGGTCATCTCGCTCGGGCCATCGTCCCGCATGCTTTTGCCTCTGCAGCTCTTCTAGGACCGGTGTGCCATCAGAGTTTTTTTTTCTCCTTCATGCCCCGTAGGCATAGTAGTGAGTCTGACGGTAGTAGCTGCCTTCGCGACGGCTTCATGCAGGAGCCTGCTACCTTCAAGTGGCATGCTGGCGTGGCGTGTCTCTGACCATTGTTGCCTTTGCGCGGTCCCTGCTCTCCGGGCATATTCGCGGTCAGGGGGCCAGAGCAAAGTGGCGCGAGATGACCAGCGCCCAGGCAGAGAAGGCTAGCGAGGCTACAGGGAGCTAGTGTAGCTAGTGTCGCGTCCACAGCATGATTCCTCGTGGGTCGAGAGGCGATGCGTCAATTGCAATGTCACCCTCCCAGGTCCACAGTTTTTCCTTTGTCCTACGGGCAAGGGAGCAATGCTTGAGAGTACCCCCTATACACCTTAGACAGGGACCTCATCTCGCGACGGTGCCGAATTGAGTCCTCTAAGGTTGCATGCGCCAGGCTTCACGCATGTATCAGCTGTCAGCCGCAGCCCTGGCACTGACAGCCGTGCTGGTGGTTTTCACATCGCTTTTTGACGTCCACCAGGCGCGGTTCTTGGGGTCGTTTTTTTTTTTCGGAATCTCAGCACGAAGTTTCCGAGAGCAGTGGATTCTCCGGGTTACATCGAAGTCCAGTGGACCAAGCCAGACTAGAACCATGCTTCTTGCCAAGACTTACTTCGACTCTAGATTGTACGTCGGATTCAACTCCCGCGTCAGGGCTTGATGGCAGATATCTTGCCGAATCTGGTGGTGGCAGGAAGCCTACTTAGTTCTTTGTCTCTTGGCCTTGAGCTGTGACACAGCCTCCCACGGGACCTCAAGCTAGAGGAAGGGAGGGGAGGGGAAGGAGGACAAGGAGGAGTAGGAGAGATATGCCTTTGTCAAGGGAGGGAGAGGGAGAAAGACAGAGGGGGGAAAGGGTGTGGACAACAAAGCCAGTCATGTTCTCATAGCTAGACGCCCGGCATGCCAAGGTATGTCGCAGCTTCTGCCACGGCTCACTGCACGAGGCTGCCTTCTTTCGTTAGCATGCTGGAAGCTTCGCTACGATAGCACTTTGTTTTTTTTCTCAGCGACCGCCACCAAAATTGCTCAACGACCTGTTCACGGGGGCGGCACTTGCCGTTACCAACAGCGAAGGATGGTGGCGAGGAAGACATGGAGCTGGAGTACATGAACCTATCTCTGTATCTGAGCCTGAGTGAGTCGGGCTTTTTCATGTGGGACACTCGCGTTACCCTGGGGGTCCTGCAAAAGTTCGTTTATTTCTCAATTGCTATAGTCGGCACCATTGGCTTCCAGCTCAATGTCCTTCATTTCTGAAGCTTGCAATCGGCAAAGTCGATCTGGCTGCACTTTCGATGGCCGTGGCGCAAGATTGGCTCCGTTATGGACCCTCTAAGAAGTCTCAACTCAACAGTGCCCCAAGAGGCCCCAAACTGCTTGTGAAATTGACCGCCTGTCGAGACACTGTGCAGAGGCACTTTGCATCTTGGCAATCCGTGCATGAACTTAAGAGTTACAGGCTGCACTGAGCATGAGACTTATTGCAGTGTGTCGGCAGGCCGAGAATTGAAAAGTGGCAACTACTCCCACAGACTGCTTGAAATGAGATTGCTTCCATCTTCATCATGTAGGACCATCCTTTGCTCTGTCTAGTTGTTACCTAACCGGCCAGACCGACACGCAAGACCGCGTGTTTAAACTGGAAACCGTTTTAGAGCACTGCCCCAGCCGAAAGCTTGGCGATGGAGGGCAATTGAAGCTGGCATGTCAGGGAGCGGAGCTGAGGAAGGGTCAGGGTTTAGGGCAAAGCTTAGTTCAGGGGTATAGTATAGGGTTTATTTAGGGTAAAGCGTGGTTTATACATGCTATGGGATGGCCTGCACAAAAGCAGGCTCTGTTCCGATGCCACGATGTGATGCTGAGTTTGCTCTGAACCCGAGCTTGTTGGAAACGAGCCTGATGACAAGCAGACGACCATGTCTTTCAATTGACCTGATTTTGGAAAGTCGCGCCGTCGTCCTTGAATCCCGGCCACTTTCATGAATAATCCTCCGAACCTGAAACTTGGTCTCGCAAATCGATGCTGAAAACAGCTTGAGGGTTGAGCTCACGCTTTCATGTGGTATCTGCTGCAGCTGAGTGCTTTGCTCATGGATTCTCATGGCAAAGCTCGGGCACTGAGCTAGCTGAGGATACGCTGATTGCAGCTCCTCGACGGCTCAGAAGCTCACACCGCGTGGCCCGAACAGTACTCGCCGTGCTCGCTGGAGAAAGTTTGCAGTTCATGCTTCAAAGCTGTTCGCTGCCGTGTATCAAGCGTCTCCTTCGAACAAACTATCGGCATGCCTCGTCTGTATTGCACTGTAGAAGCAGTGCCTGCAACATCATTCTGTCCACAAGTGCTTTGCTTCGATGGCAGTGTTTCTGCCAAGCCACTGAGCATATCGAAGGGTCGGCTGGGTTGGATTGGGTGTGCGCGCATGCTTACGCAAGTGCCGGCATTCTCTGCCTCAATCTCCGTATCTGTCTCTGTGTGTGTGTGTGTTCATGGCTCGACGTGTTAAATTTGTTCCTGTGCCTGAGCTCGAGCCTTCGACACGCAATTGCGAGTAGTCTCAACAAGCTTCTTCAAAGCATGCACCTGGGCTTCATGTCTACGCATCTCAACTCTCAACCAAGACATGACGGGACTGGGCGAGTTCTATATCTTGAAAAACCAAAATGTCTGATGCTAGATGTGCTGCCCAAGGATGCCATGGCACCATCGATTCTGCTTTTTCCGGCGTTATGCTTTGCTGTAGCAGCAGACGAGCCCCTGTTGCTCAGGCCGGCAGGAAAACAGAGGGTACGAAAGGCTACAGTTACACGAAAGCCGTTGCCTGTCGGTGGTCTCGGCTACAAGATGAGCTCCTACAAGTCTTGAAGGCGTGCTTCCAGGAAGTTTCAGGAAGTTCGGAACTATCGTGTGGATCGTCCCGGGGCCCATTCCGTGGCTGTAAATGCTCAACTTTGCTGCTGGAGGACGTTTGCTCGCTCTAATATGTCCATTAACATTGTGAGCATTACCATTGTGAGCACGGACCACCGAATGCAAAATCTCTATAGATCTCCAAACCATGAAAACCCGCTTGGCGTGGCGGATTTTGTGGCATGGGCATAGTGTTCCATATGCATAGCGCACGTCGGAAAGGGACGTGCAAAACTGTCAAAGCACAGCCATTGAGGATTGGTGAATCTTGACTGCGGAATTCTCGACGGTTGCGCCAAGATTTCTGCCACTTCTGCCGGTACCGTGAGTTGAGCGTTGCCAAGTCATAGCATTGCCGCCACTGAGGCCTCTTCGTCGGGCCGCCCCTTCTATTCTATTGGGTATGCAATCCCCTGAATTGCAGGAGAGTCGCCAGTTGTCCTGCTAGTGCCTCAAGTCTCTTCGTCGTCATGATTCTGTCAGATTACCACAATGACCTATCTCCTCTGACTTTTCTGTTTCATCTTATAAGAATTGCTGCAGCATCAGCTGCAAACCATCCTACCGTCATACAGATAACTTTAGCTTCTGTTGCATGTCACAACATGAAGACAAGATCACAAAGCACTTGCAAACGGAAGCCTTGGTAAAGAGGTGCCCGCGCACACAGACAAAAGCAGGGACTCATATACAGCACCTAACTCCGCAAGCAGAAGGGCACTCCAACTCCGAAAATCCTCGACCCAATCTCAACCGCACAGGCCGACTTCAAAAAAGGTCAAACCGAAGCCCCTACAGACCCTCGACCAGCAATCAATGAAGTAACCGATCAGGCTGGGGCAATCTATGGACCGCTTCTACGCAGAGCATCGGCACCACGCCTTCCGTCAAAGACTTGAAAAACACCCGAGGCAAACCGCCTTTGTTGAGGGTGTTGAGGCTTTAAGGGTTTCCGAGTTAATTAGAGATGTTTGCCTTTGCCTGTCTTGAAAAGCTTGAGAGACTGATGAAATCATATTGCTGGAGGCGCTTCAGAGAGACATCGTTCATCAAGAAGCTCAGTTTTGCGTTTTGGTTTGATGTGTTGCTGCGGTGGGAATTTCAATTTTGGGAGCGTTCCATTACATTCGGCGGTTGGCAGGGCAGGGATAGGTCCAAGGAGTTGGGAGCATCTTCGTTGCGGGATTTCTCAGCATCAGCAGGGCTTCAGTTCAATGTGAACCAAAATGTCAGGATAGGGAGTCTTGGATTTGGACATGACAGATTGAGGGTCTGCTGCGTCGTTTAGGATTTAGGGCTTTAGGGGGGGGAAGACTGCTGGACGTGGAACTTCCTCCACTTCTCCCTGCAGATTCGCCAGTCCTGCTGGCTCCGATGCGGTGGCGCGGTGGCAGGCCTGGCTGCGGAGATGCAGCGACGAGGTCAGATGGGGGTCATGCCGGTCATGTGGGCATTGGAGCTTTCTACTTGTTCTGCGGCAACTCTACTGCCATGTCCGGTTCTAGGCTTGCTCCTGCAACGCTGTGCCCGTCGAGGGTGCGAACGGGGCGCCTCGGTTGGACTCCTCAGCCTTTGCCGGTCTCACGTGGGGGTTGTTCTATGCAGGGAAAGTGCTACTGTGCTCTTGCTACTGTTGTCACAACTGGTACTGCTGCCTCTACTGCTGCTGCAACAACAGCAACAGCAGCTACAGCTACAGCTACAACTGGCTACAACTCCAACTGCAACCTCAGATTCCACTACAACTACAGCAACAACAATTACGTAACTACTGCTGCTACCACCACTACCACCACTACTACCATTGGGGACAAAAACTACCACTGCCAACACTACTGCTACTACCACCACCACTTCTCCTCGCTGTTACCACCACCACCAGCACTCTTAAAACTTACTACTTATACTAACGACTTACTGCTAACTACTTACTACTCATCACGTACTACGTACTACTGACCACTTACTGCTTGCTGCGTACTGCTTGCTGCTACTACGGCTACTACTGCTACTACTGCTACTACTACTACCGCTACTACTACTGCTGCTGCTGCTACTACTACTACTACTACCACCACCACCACCACCCGCGCCTACTCCTATTGCTGCTGCTGCTGCTACTACTACTACTTGTACTACTCCTACTACTACCGCTGCTGCTGCTGCTGCTGCTACTGCTAATTCAGCTGCTTCTGCTGCTGCTGCTGCTGCTGCTGCTCCTGCTGCTCCTGCTGCTGCTGCTACTACTACTACTACTACTACTTCTACTACTACTACTACTACTGCTACCATTACTACCACCACCAATACCACTACCGCCCATACCATTGCCACTACCTACTACCCATTACCAGAACGAATACGACTCCGATCACAACGGAGGCGACGATGCGGGATGCTCCTGCTGCATGCTGCTCTACCGCCATCTCACTAACTCGCTAGCTAGCTAGCTAACAAGCTAACACGCTAACCAACGTAACTACTGTGCTAACTAGGTATCAGCAGCTAGTTGGCTAGCTAGCTAGCCAACTAGCTAGCCGGCTAACCTACCTCAACAGAGGCCCGAACACCTCATACCTACCGACCTGCATAGGGCTATTGCCGCTATGACGCCATCAGCAGTGGAATTGGGCAGTACCTAGGCCTCGGAGAACGATGAAACGACGAAGCTGTTGGTAGCCTCAGACGCCAGAACGGTTTCACTCTTGAGCCTAGAATGATGTGTGCAGGTACTGCGCGAACCCTGCGACTGTGCGCCACTGCCATCCAGCGTAGGGCAAATCGGTCGAACTCTCCGCCTTGGGCGGGTTCTTTGGTGCATCGCTGCGGCTGGAGATGCGCCTCGCCAGAGCAAGAGTCGTTTGTGTGTTCCACTTCGCATTAGAGCCTTGGCTTTTGGTCGGTTTGCTGACTGGCAGGTCAGCGTTGCTGCAGACTTCTATGCCAACGAAGGTGGGGTGAACTGCAGATAGCCATGGACCACCGTCAATTTTCTCTGATTCAGACCGGTGTTTTTCAAGCATCCAGTGACGTAGTGCAGTCTGCTCTGCCTTAATCATGCCTTCCCACTGTGGCCAACCTGACATTGCCATCCATGTCCGGTCGCTCTCTTGAGCTCGTTGGTGTGTGTTGCTCGACTATGCGCAAGATCACACTTCCAAAGAATCTCCAACGCCAGAATGGGCCTGCAGCTAGAAGCAGGTGTGACGAAACAGAATCTCCAACATGCAGAGGCGGCAGTGCTTCGCTGCTGGCGCACGGGCTGTCTCAGCACGCGGCTTCTGAACCGTGCCGGCTGTGGACATTCGAGGCCGCCGAGCAAGGCTTTGGCGACCTTTGCAAGATAGCGGCCTCATCAGAAGATCACGAATTGCGGAAGCTCTTCTTTTCTGGAATAGAGTAGATGCACGTTTCTGAGAGGTCCAGGCTGATTGGGCAGCATCCACAGCAAGAAGCTTGCAGGCAGTGGAGGGAAGCAGGATCCCTGGAACTACTCTCGCACTGCTTGCCCCGAGTTCAAGTGTTCTGTGAAGTTGTGGATAGTTCATGCAAGAGAGACAAAAGCAGCCCAGCAGGATCCCATTTGGCAGCTGAATGGGCTATCAACAGACGATTATATTCAGTACTCACAGTCTGCACTGCACTGCTACAGTTGTTGTAGTTGCTCCTTTCTTGCCTGCCTTGTTCTGCATCTGCAGGCCGCTGGTGCAGACGTGTCTCTGGCGACTGGGAGCTAGTAGGGAGATTGGACTCAGGAGTTTTTTGTTTAGGGCCTCACCACAAGAGCTCGGAAGAGAACTGGCCACTTCGAAGTGTGTCCTCGGAACAATAGGCTGTTCGCATTGTCATGGAGGCTGATGAGCTCCAGGAAGGGGGTCAGGTGGAGGCCAGTGTTTTCAAGACTCAGGTGAAGCCTGCATGGTCTGGCTCTGCGGCGCAGGAAGCCTTGTTGAAGGAGGCGTGGTTGCAAGTGTCCTGGCATTGGGTCCTGCAGCTCCAAGTTGCATGCTTTCCGCCGAGCAGGCTCGGGGTGGTGAACCGCGAGCTGCAGTTCGAGCCATCGTTGTGGCAGAGGTGCCGTCAGCTAGGTCCGACCTGGATCGTAGATGCCTCTACTTGAAAGCGAAAGGGACAGCGACTCGCCAGGCACCTGCCTTTCACCACGACACAGAGGCGCAGATGCTAGATCTGGAATGCGCATTGCCGCTAGTGCCCCGAGAGTCCCCGGGTGCTGTTTTCGCCGAACCATAGCTCTGAAAGTGAAGTCTCGAATCCTGAAAGACGAGCCCGCCCTCTCCGTCCAAGGGGGGGCAGGGAATCCTTGCTGCTGCATGAAAAAAATCTCCTGTACTCGTGGGTCGGCAGGTGGTCGGGTGACGGGAATTCCTCTGTGGCCGGTGGTCGAGCAACATTGCAAGCCTAAGCTGGCCTTGATTTGAAAGCCCGTCTCACGCTGATAGTGTTGGCCCCTCGTTCCTGCGTGCCTCCGGATGTTTTAGTTTCTGCTCGATAGAAAGGACTCGAAGTAGATATTTAGAACTGATAGTAAACCAGGAGGCCTGTTACATGCAAGTGTCTTCGTGCTCCAAAGCCCCAATCCTCGCAGGAAGCGGCAAGCGAGGCGTTGCTGCCGGGAACTTATGCTCATTCTGCATGTGCAGCGGCGTCTGAGTAGTGAGTCTTGTGGCAAGCAGTCTGGATATTCTGGCCTGTTCATTGCGGTGAGTGACCGTCGGCGGTAGGATCATGATGTTCACAGCGGAGAAGATGATGACGATGGTTCCTGAACCCCAAATTTCCTGTCCCGAAGATGCGGTGGTTCCCTGCAGTTGACCTTCGATAATTATCGAGGCAGGCCCCTTGCATGGAGAAGCCGGGCATCCAGTTTGCCTTCATTGATCCTCTTGAGGCTCGGTCCTGGAGACTTCCAGCAGCTGTGGTGCTTCGAGTTTGGCTGTGATGCGGTTAGGGTTTATAGTTTAGGGTTTAGTGTATATAGGGTTCAGGGTTTGAAGCAGTTCCGGCCGACAGAAGCCTGCAGCAACAGAGCAGATGACATGGGATGCCCTCCTACGGAGCTTGAGACGAGCCCTCGTCCCCAGGCCAGGATAGGACGGCTTTTCCCAGCGTCAGGCCTTCGTCCCAGAGTTTTCTATACTCTTCACGCCCGGGGCTCACTGGCGTGCTCTGCTTCCAGAGGGTGTCTGGCAGCTTCGCATAACTGGGGGCATTTCATCTGGAGGTTCTTGCAAGGATCCTTCTATCTACCCCCATATGTTCCGCCTCTGAGCTTTCGCTATGCTGCAAAGGTCGTGCCCGGATTTGAAGTGGATTGCCGCCCGAGGCTTAGGCTTACTACCTTGTCATTGAGCCCTCTCCCTGAACCTGTCGTCCTCAGCACGTGAGTGCTGTAGATCCTGAGCAGCCATACCGGATGCCTCCGCTCCGCTCTGTATGTAGTTGCATCCACTTACAGTCCTGGCTGTGCGGCTTCACCGGCTCGAGCATTGCACGTGCTTGTGCAGAAAAGGAATACCCACATGCCACTCCCTTAGAACTGAGAAGGACACTTGAAACATGCGTGGTTGATGCATAGCGGTGTAATCAAGGTGCCTCTTCCGAAGAAGCACACACACGCACACCATCACCAATACCTCATCAGAGACTCTAGAGCACATGTCACACCCGGGTTGAGGAGGTCACCTCCCCGATTTTCTTGATGAATGATGACGAGTTGCAGCAGAAGATCGATCGCCTCGTCAAGCTTGTGAGCGAGAATGTGCCTGAGTCGGGGACCAATGAGACTGAGCCCGCCGACCCGGGCCAAGGAAACCTCCGAGCCTCCAGGGAGGCCTCACCCAAGAGGGACGAGGCCGAGCATGACCACTCGGCTTCTGGGTTCTTGTTAAGGGGTTTAAATTTAAGTTACCATGATAGGGATCTATAGTGAATGGTATGGTTTCCTTATTATGGTAATTTAGAGTAAATCCCCTAACAAGAACATACAAGAACCCAGGCTTCTTGGCTTGTCGGCGTTGACGATTTGAGGAGCATCGACGCCGCGTCCTCAAAGGCTACTCCGAGTTCTTCGTCGAAAGTTCCCAGTTCCGCCGTACAGGCGAGGATGAGCAAAACACGTTTGGAATTAAAAACCACGTGCTTGAACATATTTACGGAGATCTGGCATTTAAACATGTGCTTAAACACTTCTGTTGATGTTGCAGCAGGTTTTGATTCAATACTTCTGGCAGAGTTGACTATGTTTAAACGTTTTAAGCATCCTCCTCTGAGTCATTGCATGTGTCAAGGTTTAGAAATCGCGGTCCGACCTAGCTCTTTCTGATCCCTCTAATTGTTTTTTCCGGTACAGCCGTTAATCGATTCAGGTTTCGGCATGCCCTGCCAGTAGCCCGGTAGCCCGAGGGCTTAAACACATGTAAACGCCGCGCATGTAAGAGCACTTAAATGGTGTGAGCAAATTTACGAAGGTTTGGCAGGAAGCTAGGGGCCTTCTTGCAATGGGTCCTCTCAGGCGGTTGAAACGCTTGCAAGATTTGTAAAGCATTGTGGTTTACGTGTTTAGGTGGTTTAAACCGGTTACGCAATTCTGTGGACAGGAGCCTTCATGGTTAACCATGTGCATTTGCAGGTGTTAACCGTTTGAACAGTGTTGCCTCGCCCAACGCTGCGTAAAGGCCGTTCCGACTTCCTCGCGGCGATTTTGGGGACCTTCCTTGACGGCGGCGGTCAAGGCCAACCAGCGCCGGCTGGTAGCTTCAAAGCCAGCGCCAAGACAGGAAGCCAGTCATGAAGGAGAAGAGGGCAGGGATGAGTTTGCGGTTTCTCCTGAGGCGAGGAAAGCTTTGGCATCCATTGGGCGCAGCCTTGAGACGGGAGACCTGCACAGTTGGGAGCTCCACAACGCTGCGCGGGGACTCACGCGGAAACTGCTGAAAGCTACAGTGGATGATGCAATAATCCTTGAGGAGTCTGAGACGTGGCAGGGAATCCGCATGGGGGCAGCCGTGCCAGACTTGGACGTCCGGGTGATCCTTCCCATATCCCGAGCACTCCACGCCATTCCGGAAGGACGGGCGGTAGTGGGCCAACTGGTGACCGCCTTGGTACTCCTGCGACTGCACGGGCTAGAGCCGGCCTCGATCGGGAGAGCGAAGAGGAAGGCGACGGACCGGCTCTTGCGGCAATCGTTGTCGGAATATATGACGAAGAAGAAGGAGAAGAAACAGAAGAAGGAGAAGGTGGAGAAGAAAGAGAAGAAGGTGAAGAAGAAGCCGAAGAGGGCAGACGAGGAACCAGACAAGGAACGCACCGAGAAAGCGAAGATCGCGAGCAAGGGTGCGGCGAAAGCCGCAAAGGTGGGAGCTGGAGAAGCAAGGCCAGTGGGCCGCCAAGTGGGCCGCCAGGACCTAGCATCCCTGAAGTCAGAGGTCGTGCGGGAGCTGAAGCAGCGGCCCATGACGTTGCAAACTCTAAATTCACTTTTCGGCTGCCGCCTGAAGGAGGCGACCAAATCCATGGGCCAGCAAATCAAGTTCAAGAAGTGGCTCTTGGAGATCGACGGCGTGAAATGGGGAGGCAAAAAGGGAAATCCTCTGCTGACCTGGAAGCCGACCTCACAGACACCTGCCGACAAGAGATCTCGGTCCAGGAGCCCCCGAAGAGCCCCCGATCCACCTCCCGGCAACTTCGGCGCCGCCCTGCATCCCCAGTGGTAGTGCCGCAGGCTTTCCAAAGTGTAGCCGATGCTCAGCTGTGAGACCGCAGATGCAATGCCGGCAAAGAGGAGAAAGGAATTTCGTTTCAAGTTTCGGCATTGTTTGTTCATTGTATGTGTTTCTATGGTCATGTTTCGTCGTCAAGGAACCAGAAGCCCAACAACATAACTCTCAAGATGTTTCTCTCTCGTTTTGCTTTTCATGGTGCTGTGTGGGCACCTCCATTTCGTCTGTGATTTGAGATTGCCGCCCATATGTTGGAGCTGTGACACTTGGAGGTGCGACATGTTGAAGGAGTCACCAACCCAGATTTGTGACAAGAGGTGCACAACACGAACCTCCAGCAGATGACGGGATGGATTCCGCGGTTCCTGGCAAACCGAACAGGGCCACGGCCTCAGGCCGCAGTAGGCAGCACTCGTAGCGATGTCCCGGCGGGATGAGTTGGTATGTCAGGGAGGTGTGAGTGACAATTTTTTGTAGGCATGTTTCACACTTGAGCAAGGAATCGGGTCGTAGCCTGTAACCGAAGATGGCTTCGAGTTAGGATGCGCCCTGCACCCTGAGCTCTTTTCTCGCGCTCGGTGATTGTGATCCTAGGGGGGACCCTTCTGAACCCAACTTGTGGCTCTCTTGAAAGGGACCTTGTTGAGAGGGTCCATATCCCCAAGGGTCTCCCTAATCCTAACTCCCATGTAAAGAGCTGAGGTGGCACTTGGTGTTGCAGGGATCTCACGTTTGGCGGCCAGTCGAGTTGACCCGTCACGTGCCCGGCACCCGGCGGAGAGACAGGAATGCTAGTATCCGATATCCCGTTCTAGTTCCGATAATTCCCCAAATACTTATATGTATATATATATATATATATCTATCTATCTATCTATCTATCTCTCTCTCTCTCTCTCTCTCTCTCGCTCTATCTATCTATCTATCTACCTATCTATCTCGAAAACGAAGGCCCCCGAAAGGCTTCCCTGTATAGGGCCCAATGAAGTTCGATTTCAGACATTGGACGTTCCCGGAACGAGCTCAAACTGAACGGTGGCTTGTCATAGTTAGGAGCTTCATCAGGTTGTACGGTTGCTCCTCTGTAGTAACTAGAGTTGGAGAGCACCAAAACCTCGCCAGAGGCCCAGACGGCGTGCCTGGCAAATGCCGTCTTCCCAGCCGTGACGATGGGTTCAAACCAGATCCCACGAAACCTCAAAGTTAAAGCTCTTAGGCTCTACAGTTCCTGTGCTTCGGGCATGTATGGATGAGCATGGGCCATGGGTGATGTGGGCCTGCCCCGCTCCAGGTTGAATGGGGATC